GTGCCTACAATATAAATAACTATAGTGCTCTGGAGAGCCATTTTTAAAATTCCAAGTTGCTATACCAAATTAGTGATAAAACCAAGCTGTCCTTAAAATATAAGGGAGCCTAGGGCCTTCCCTGTTGTACAACAGGTTAGGATGCAGCCCTGTAAGCTGGCCACAGCCAATCCCCGCCCTTGAGGTGACCCACATGGCGGACAGACCTCTCTTGACCCGCCTGCTGCTCCCTCAGCAGTGGACTTCGTCAGTCGGCCTGTCCTGCCCCTTTTTCTGTCTCTGGTGAATCCCCTCACCGCCCCTGCACCCCTGGCCTGTACCCCAGCTCTGTATGCATAAATAAATAAATCTTTAAAAAACAAATAAGGGAGCCTGTGTATAAATCACCCTGCACTTTCTCCGTATGGTGCTGCTGCTACTGAGAGCGGGAAATGGTAAAACAAGGCATGACCGGGCTGCACCACGAGCTCATTAGCAAGAATGGTGCTGATTATACTTATTCACCTCTCAGTGTTGAGAGGGGACTGAGGCTCACGGGTGTGCATGTGTAAGGACCCTGTTAGCAGAACACGTGTGTCTGTGTGCATGCGTCAGCCTGCCCAGGAAAGAGGCTCCAATGGGCCGTTCTAATCGCTCAGGGTTTGCTTTGAGGTTTTGTTTTGGGGTTTTCAGCTTGTCTTGTCTTTTTAAAATTCTTCTACGGCATTTGTGAGTTGGTCTTTGCATGGAAGAAAGATTGCTTTTTGAGGAAACAACCAGGAGGAAGGGAGGGGAAAGCAATGAGTTCTTTAGGGGAATGGACCAGATATGGGGCTGTAGGATCCCCTGGTCAAGGCTGGGCTGCCTGGCCAATGGGCAGGTGTGAGGGATCTCAGAGCAGTTTGGGTGGATGGTGGATGGATGGATGAATGGATGGATGGGTGGATAGATGGGTGAATGGGTGGATGGATGGTAGATGGATGGATGGATGGGTGGTGAATGGATGGATGGATGAATGGATGGGTGGATGGATGGATGGGTGGATGGAGGGTGGGTGGATGGATGGATGGATGGATGGATGGATGGATGGATGGATGGATGGGTGGATGGATGGGTGGATGGTGGATGGATGGATGAATGGATGGATGGATGAATGGATGGATGGTGAATGGATGGATGGTGAATGGATGGATGGGTGGGTGGATGGATGGATGGATGGTGGATGAATGGATGGGTGAATGGATGAGTGGATGGATGGATGGATGGTGGATGGATGGATGGTGGATGGATGGATGGATGGATGGGTGGATGGATGGATGGATGGTGGATGGATGGATGGATGGTAAATGGATGGATGGGTAGATGGATGGATGGACAGACAGATGGACGGATGGGTGGACACCACCTCCACCTCCAACATGGAGAGAAAAGAGATTGGGAAGGGCCAAGCTTGCGTGATTTCCTTTCCTGACACCCAGCTCCATCATCTTGGGTCCCAGAGAAAATTCTCCTTTTCTGGAAGACTGGCTTCTCTCCCCAGCCTCTACATGGCCAGCCCAGCACATCCAAGCCAGCACCATGGCCCACAGCAGGGTCGTACCAGCAGCTTGCCTGTTTCAAGGTCCCACACCTGCACTGTTTTGTCATAGGATGCTGCAAGAATTCTGGAAATAAAATGACAAAGATGGGGTCTTTAGAGCAGAGACAATGGTGCCTGTGGTTTCCACAAGGAAACCATTGAAAATTCTTCACAGAAAACATCAATGATTTAGGGCAAAGGTGGCAAATAATGCCCAAATCTTCCTGGATCATCTCTGTGAGCCCCCCTGGAGGGGAAGGTATCTCTCTCTTAATTCTTGGGGTCATGCAAATGCTGGCTCATGTTTGGGGTATTAAGAGGTATCCTTCTGCTGTTCTGTGATTGTCTGTCTTCTTTCTTTCTTTTTAAAGATTTATTTATTTATGTATTCAGAACTGGAGTACAGGCCAGAGGTGCAGGGGGTGAGAGGCTTCACCAGAGACAGAATAGGGAGCAGAACTGACTGAAATCCACTGCTGAGGGGAGCAGCAACAGGACAGGAGAGGCCTGCTGCACCCTGTGGGTCACTCCCTGGCCAGGGATCGAACTCGTGCTGAGGCGGCTGCAGCCAGCTTCCCAGTGCTGCATTTTAACTCCCGGCGCCACCAGGGAGGGCCCTAACTGTCTTCTTCTAAGGGAATCAGGTACTTCCTTCCCTGTGCGTGTGTTTATCTTTCAGCAGGAAAATACTTCGACATCTCTTTTCATTCTGAAATGTTTTCTCGTACATTTTGTGAAATAATATAAATGCTCCTTTGCCGTCTTACTCTGCATATCACTGAGGCCACGTTTATCGTCTCTGTAAGACACATTCCCACAACCCTTACATCTCCACATTAGCTTTACCTAGGAGACTGGTTTTAGAGCTGCCGCCCAGGGTGGAAAGCAAATGCATGTTAAAGCAAACTCCCTTGTATTTCAAAGGTGCCTCTTATCCCTGGATGAGAAAATCGGGGCACATACACCCCAGAGGCTCATGTCTGTGTTGAGTCCCAGCCCGACCCTTCCCCAGGGAGAGCTCAGGCATACCTTTGCTTCCTGGGCCTCAGTTTCCCCTGGGCAGTCAGTGCCTGGCCTAGGTTACAAAGGCCCCTCGCAGTCCAGAACCTCCAAGAAGCAAATCCAGACTGGCTCTGTGTGAGCCACCATCAGTGCTGTGTTTATAAAACTATGTCACAATCACTTGATTCTTGCAGCAAAAAAATAAAACTAAGCCCTCCCTGGTGGTGCAATGGGTTAGAGCACAGCCCTACGAGGTGGGCTACAGCCTCTTCAGCATGAGTTCAATCCCCAGCCAGGGAGTGACCCTCATGGTACAGCAGACCTCTCCTGTCACCCCTCAGCAGTGTACTTCAGTTGATCTTCCAGTCCGCTCCCCACTCTGTCTCTGGTGAATCGTCTCCCCCCTGAGCCTCTGGCCTACACCCCAGTTGTTGTATGTATAGATAAATAAAGCTTTAAAAAGGGGGTGGGACCCCATGTTTATTGCTGCTTTATTTACAATTGGAAAAACATGGAAGCAGCCCAAATGCCCAAAAGAAGATGACTGGATAAAAAAGATGTGGTACATATAAACAATGGAATATTACTCAGCAACCAAAATAGAGAAACACATGTCTTTCGCAGCAACTTGAATGGAGCTGGAAAAGATCATGCTTAGTGAGATAAACCAGAAAGAGAAAGAAAAATACCGGATGGCTCCACTCATAGCAGGAGTATAATGGACCAGGCGAGAAAATAATAAGAATAATGAACAGCCATGTAGCAGAGACATTTTGCGGGGGTGGAGTGGGAGGTGGGATCAAAAACACGGGGAGGGGGGGAGAGGTGGGGAGGGAAGTGCACAGGACTGTGGTGATGGCACACGGGTGACTCGGTGATGGGAAACCCACGGGGATTACAACCGAGATGTTAAAAAAAAATGTACAAAATGATGTAAAAATAAACCGTTATATTATTAAAAAAAAAAAAAGGGTGGGGGGAACTGCTTTAGAGGAGCAGGGTCGTGAAGTTACTCAAAAAGCAACAGAGAGCGCCAGAGTGCGCTGACCTGCCTGTCGCTCTTGCTTTTCCTGACCCGTGTAAAGCAAGGGAAGGTCACCTTCTGCTGTCGGCCGTGACGCTGCACTCTGACACAGGAGCCATCGGCTGCTTAAATTCCCGAACAACAGATCCGTCCACAGCATCCTCAAATCAACAGGAGAGAGAGGGAGAGAGCGAGAGGTCACTCAGGCATTGCCGAGGCTGAGACGGGAGTTCAACACCGGCCCAGGGCTTGTCTACACCAGCGAAGGTGAGCATGTGGCATGGCTAGGGCCTCCCCACCTCTCCCCAGGGCAGGAAGGTCACTCTACCACCTAGGGTGCCCCAGGCAGCTCCCCATCTCGACAGGCAGCAGCTGGAACATGGTCATAGAGGGCAGAGCCACAAACAGATCGTTTCCTTGTTCTCCACTGGCCAGAAAGACTTGGCACAACCCACCAAGGTCTTCCAAGAACATTCTGCCCATGGCCTTCGAGCTAGCACTTCTACTCTGAGGGACGAGTAATGTGAATCGTGGACCAAGGCTAATGCGGGAAGAGGTTGGTCCCGCGGAAGGCCAGAGGGGGCAGGGGAAGCCAGCTATGGGGCCGCCACTTTCATCACGGTGAAGGGCAATAGCTGGGGTTGAGATGGAAACAGAGCAGGGGCCCTCCCTGGTGGCGCATCGGTTAGGACGCAGCACTGCAAGTGGCCGCAGCTGCTTCAGTGCGAGTTCGATCCCCGCCCCGGGGGTGACCCACAAGGCGCGGCAGACCTCTCCCGACCCGCCAGCTTCTCCCCTCAGCAGTGTGCTTCCTTGAGCTGTCTGTTCTGCTCCCCACTCTGTCTCTGGTGAATCCTCTCACCACCCCTGCACCTCTGGCCTGTACCCCAGTTCTGTATGCATAAATAAATAAATCTTAAAAAAAAAAAAAGAAAACAGAGCATTTGGGTAGACAGTAGGAAGAGAGGAAAGCCAGGTCCCAGCTGCGTGGCAGGGTCAGATCAACGCAGGCAGATGGAACAGCTCATGTGCTGAGAACAAAGCAGGCCCAGGAGCTGAGCCCACTGGCACACAGAAGAAATGTGGCACTAAGACCTGCCGACAGCGTTTCTGGGCAAGCTGGGCTGGTGCAGCTCCTGGACACAAAGGTTGCTGTAAGGACAGTGGAGTCCTAGAAAGGCCAGTAAGTGGACTTCTTAGGCCCTTGTGACTGACCAGCACTGGTCCCAAAGAGGCCTGCCAGGGTCTGCTGGCAGTGCCCACTCAGCTTCTGGAGGGCCCGTGGTGCCCACCTCCCTGGAGCGGTGTCTGACATCACAGCTCTGTCCCCTACTTCCTGCACCCGAGGGTGCTCATCTGTGCTCAGGCCTGCCTCTCCCAACCAGCCCCACCTAGCCACACCACCTCTGTGGAGGGAACTAGATTTTTCCAACAAGAAGGAGATCCAAAGAGGTGGAATAGCCTAGTGGCCTCCTGTAAGCC